GGTACGCGTTGACGGTTTACTTCCGAACACCGAGGAGGGCATTGTCTGGCAGCTGTTTTCCGCTTTTCCCAGTGTTGTCTCCATCCAGCTAATCAAACCGAATCGGATAGGATCGGATGGTCGAACAGGATTGGACAGTGCACGTCCCGTTACTGCTTTGGTAACCATGTCCGATACAGACCAGGCCAAAATGGCCGTGCATTATTTGAATGGGTAAGTGATATCGGATTTATGTGACTGATGACCAAATTCTTAATGTTATGAATCAAAGAGTTTGGGTTGAATCCCTCATCCTGGTGAATGCTTTTGACAAGAGACATGTCTCCTTGTGTTCCATCTGTAGGGTACAAGGCAGTTGGTTTGGTGAATACGCACTGCTTTTTAATCAGTGAAATGTCAAACCAACTGTGTCCAGATTTTCACTTTGAACTTATACGAGGAAATTTTCCATGCACACAATTATCTGTCATGGTTTCAAAAAGCATTTCGCCTCCAGAGTTGAAAGTAGTACTTCGTGAATAAACAATTATCTGGAAAGTTATGCGCGCTATTGCAAATATACTTAAAAGCTGGTCCATGACAGTAAATTGGGCTTATACCAATTCCGGTATCAATCGTGTGCATATTTTCCGACTTGATGAGAGCAAATATACCTGCCAATCGTCAAGTTAACCACCAACTGTGTCCCAACAGGGTTTCCGTTGTGTACAGAGGAGCACTGAAGTCTTAGCAACGTCTGATTTGTAACGGTGCAACAAACTGGTCATAATGTAGAACCTGCTGTGCAGTATGGCATCGACACTAGGAAATTCAAATACGATCACTACCACAATAGATTTTTTTTTGTTTTCCTGTCAAGAAACGTATTCCGTTGATAGGGAATAATCTATAGAACGAAGACATATCGACAAATAACACGTAGTAAACGATTATCCACGGGACGACCCACACCGACAGACCTACCAAATGCGACAAAAATTCATAATTACACAATCCCTATGAGACATTTCTAATTAGCTGGCAAATGCTTACAAACTGAGATAAACTGATTGAGGTATTTGGGAAAGGTCTACACATAGGGCAGAAGCGTAGTTCAACTTCATGGTTTCAAATTGGCTCACTGTATACACATCTCTGGCAACAGTTTTGTAAGCAACCGTGTTGATTATTGTTCTTGTAGCACAAGTAATATAACTGGATGTTCAGTTGTTCACCGAGTTTGGCAATTGTATTGCAAACGTTCCATCATCAATCGAGGTGACATTCTCAATGCAGTAACTGGGTGAGCGCTCACAAGTGTCCTTTTCCTTATATAGATCGTTGAGTAATGTACAGACGTGGCGTTGCCTGACTGGCCAAGGTTTGTCCGCCTTTTGCCGATAGGGGATGAGGTGGACGCGAGCAGTCTGACGGGTGGCCGTTGATCGATCAATCTAAGCGTTACTATTGTCTTGTTGTCACGTGTGACACGACCCACGTTCTTTGTGTTGATTGGTCGTTTTGGTGCATGAGAGTGTAGACTTGATCGATGCCAATATATCGGTTGTCTGAGTTTTCCAATGAATGCCAAGCTTCCAGGATTTCTCTCGCGTGCTTGAAGCGGGCCCAATCGAAGCCTTTGATTATTTTCGAAATCGAAGTTGTGTCCTTCTCGGTCCTCGTAGAATGAGATGGGTGAGTGCGCATCTTGTCTTCTGACGGCCAGTTTGTATTGGTGCACGCGGGTTACTAGTTTTCTCTCTGGTTGATCGATATAGTGCTTGTTGCAGTCCTTACAGTTGATCACATTTGTTCGATTTTTGCTGTCCTGTTGCTTCTGGGTTTGCGATAAGATTCTCCTCAGGGTTGTCGTTGGTTTGTGGGCTACTTGAATGTTGTGTGGTTTCAGTATTTTCGAGGTCATTTCCGAAATGTTTTTCACATACGGTAGGGTTATTCGCCTTTTAGGTTGTCCGTTTGTCCTTGTGTGTTGCCGTGTTTGAATTATTGCCCGTTTGATGCAGTTGCGGGTGTAGCCGTTGCGGAGGAATACTTGATAGAGATATTTCTCCTCTTGCTGCCGCAAATTTTAAGTGCTGCAGCGTTTTTGCCCATTCGAACACATTTCGAATGCAAGGCTTCCGGTGGCAAGGTTCGGTGGTTACTAAGGTATCCCAGGATTTGATCTGTGGGAGTCTTCTTTCTGTATGCTGATGTTTCTAGCGTTCCGGACAACGATCTTGTTACTAGGACATCGAGGAATGCCGATTGGTCATTTTGTTTTGCTTTTATAGTAAACTTGATATCCGGGAAGATATTGTTGATGCTTTTGAATGTTGTGTCCACTTTCGATCGCTTCAGGATCACGAATGTGTCATCTACATATGTAACCCAGAGTTTGGGCTAGAGTTGCGGTAGAACCGTCCTTTAGAGATTTTAAAAAACGGCTTCAGCAATGAATCCGGTAAGTGGTGAAACCATGGGTGTTTCTTTCACCTGTTCGTAGATTTTACCGTCAAATTCGAACATTGTATGTAAGCATAGGTTCATCAGCTCGCAGATATATTTGTTATCCAGTGTTTGGTGTATCTTTTGTTCTTCTAGAAGCTCCTTCAGTGTCCCTTTGGCCTAATCGAGGTTGACGGAGGTGAACAGCGCGTTGACGTCGGAGGATATCATTATTTCACCTGCACCAATATTTATATTTTTCATATATATAATATTTATGTATATATAATTTTCTAGCAACTGTTTAACGTTATTGATGGAGTGCTCGTAGCCGGCGAGGAGAGGTCAGTTTGTAGGTTGGTGTATCGGGAAGAACGCGGGTCGTGTCACACGTGACAACAAGACAATAGTAACGCTTAGATTGATCGATCAACGGCCACCCGTCAGACTGCTCGCGTCCACCTCATCCCCTATCGGCAAAAGGCGGACAAACCTTGGCCAGTCAGGCAACGCCACGTCTGTACATTACTCAACGATCTATATAAGGAAAAGGACACTTGTGAGCGCTCACCCAGTTACTGCATTGAGAATGTCACCTCGATTGATGATGGAACGTTTGCAATACAATTGCCAAACTCGGCGAACAACTGAAGGTCATAAGCATGGAGGTATAGCAAAGTTCCTGAGGATGCAGCTAAAATAACACATCGGAAAAGCACAGTACACTTCGATCAAGTTTCATCGTTGATTAGATACATGAAGAAAAACATGAGAAAATCCGGTCATTTTTTATCGTGGGAGGGGTTTGTTCTTGAATAGCGTACCCCTAACTTGGTATGATCAAGGAAGCATAGAAGAATAATGAAAAACAATAACGAAATCACACCTGTTTCTACATTTACATTCTCTATTTGAATCGGTAACCATTGTAAACACAATTAACTCAAAATCCAGGGCAATCTAATCTCAGTTAACCTTCAGCAAGCTCAGGTTCAACTCAAACACGAATTAGTTGAACATTTGTATCGAGTGTATGTGCCTGAACGGTTGCTCGCTTTTCTGATGTGTGAAAACGTGCATCAGTGCTTGTCGGGTGGTTCGGTTGAGTTTGACCTCATGTGACAATGTGTGCTCGCGTTGCCTGTCGACCTGAATGCTTGTTTACGGATGTGCTGCTGCCCATGAGCACATACAAACGTGAAAACTGGTAATAGTGCTCGGGTGAGAGCTAATACGTGACCAGTTCACACAAAAAAAATTTGCGTGCATCAAGCAGCAAACATTGGTTTATGACGCTTTTTGGTTCCCACACATTGGCGCACAAGAAACCTGGGATTGGCTCGTTGTGCATACACTTGAATCCCGTGCGAAAATGTTTAACCGAACGCTGATCGATCGCTGGTTTCGTCTGCCGATCAACTGACAACATTTAAAACATCGTTTCTTTGTAGGTTCGCTGATATTTAAGGCATTATTACCTGTTCATATTGATTATTCATCAAGCAGGTTCTCGATCAATGCACATAAATCATAAAAGTCTTTTTTATGGACGAGTTTAGGCTAATTTTGGCAACGTTGTAACGTTTTCAGAAAGCGAGATTTTACTAGTAGATTTTTTATTATTTTGGATCATTTATGTAGAAAACCCAGTGGTAGAACAGTAAAATGCTACAACGTGCTACAATCATTCGACATAAAAGAACGCTCTTTATATATTCTCCGATGGGTTACGTGACTTTAGAACGTGCAAAACTATTTAAGCGTTAATCAGAAATGCATCAGCTCTGCAAATGATTTTTCTAGTTTGAGAAATGTAATTTCTTTGCAAGTACCGTGGACTGCATCACGTCTAATAATTTTAAAGATAAAGAACATTATTACAATGCAATCAAAGAGATTATTTTATTTATACGGAGCGGTGGACCTCTCTTGCGGGGAGATGTGTGAAACTGGAAATCCAATATGTCGCACCACTAATCTCATTCATATAAAACAATTTTAAAAAACACCCGTTATCTACTTCGTTAACACATGAAGACATATGTTGGCAGAAATAATGTTGTACATCAATTTCGTGTGCTTGTATTCCGCTCTAAACGCACATTGATCATGTTAAACAGAAAAACGTAATCGTTGAGATGAAACATTCGAAACAAGACGGTGGACAAGCGAGTATCGTAATTTTTTTTTCGTTAGCGGTTAAGGTCATGCTAGGTGACAAACTTTGATCTGGGGGGGAGGGAGGGAACTTGTGGGATGAATATGGTGATGGAGG